GGTAGGAAGTGTGCGTGCCTGTAGCTCTCGCATTCTATCATTTAATGTTGTTTTATTATTACCAAGTTCCTTTGCTGCTTTCTCCTTTGGTGCTATTATCAGCGACCCTGACTGTATGCTTTTCATCTTTAAATAATTTTTTTTTTTTTAGGAGAAAACAAGGTTCCTTTGCTGCTTTGTTTTGCATTTATCACCAGCAGTCTGCGGGTTCCCGAGCAACCCAGGTCCTCAGCAGCTTTGTCACCCCTGTTATTATAGGCTGTATCTTTTCCTTCCCTTCTGATCTTTTGACTTTCAGCCCCGCTCTATTGGACACTGCCCCATCTGTTTCTTTCTGTTCACATGTACTTGTTTATCTTCATTGTGTGTTTCAGCCTTTCTGCCTTTAATTGATTCCTGTCTTTAATTGTATCTCTTCCTTTGAAAGACAGACACAGATCCGCTGGCCTTGGGCTCATTCCCCAAACGACTGCAAGAACCAGTGCTGGGCCAGGCTGAAGTGTGGAGCTCCAAACCCAATCCGAGTCTCCCCCATGCTGGCAGGGACCCCAGCCCTTGACCCCAGGGTGCTGCAGTAACAGGAAGCTGCAAATGGAGGGGGAACTTGAACCCAGACGCTATGATAAAACCCTGTGCATCCCAAAGTATTTTTTTTTAAAGATTTATCTGTTTTTATTGGAAACGTAGATTTACAGAGAGAAGGAGAGGCACACAGAGGAAGCTCTTCCATTTGCTGCCTCTCTCCCCAAGCGACTGCCACAGCCGGAGCTGAGCTCTCCAAAGCCAGGAGTCAGGATTCCTCTGGGTCTCCCATGCAGATGCAGGGTCCCTAGGCTTTGGGCCATCCTCTGCTGCTTTCCTAGGTCACAAGCAGGGAGCTGGATGGGAAGTGGAGCAGCTGGACTTGAACTGGCGTGCTGATGGAATAGGTGGAGGCTTAGTGTGCTATACCATGGCGCCAACCCCATTTCCCCGGTGGTGTTAGCCAACAAGCCAAACACCTGCCACTCCTTTGGTTTACATAAACTAACTTTAAGAAACAGGTATTCTAATCGCCAGAGTCTGCCTACTCTTGCCATCCTGTTGCCTGCCTATTTATCTTTCTCTCATCTTCCCCTCCCACTTTCTGTATTTAATCTGTTACATTTTTCATGTCGCAATTTGGAAATGACACTTTGCCTTGCTATCCCATCCTGTTTGCACATGAAGCAAGCCAAGAAACCCATAGGCAAAGGACTGAGAAAGCCAGACTCGAGTGAGTCCCCAGGCAGGGGGAAAGGAGATGGGCTGATGAGCAAGGCGTCCAGCACAGCTCTCAGGGCTCCAGCGGAGGCTCCGGGCACGATGGTGGCAAGACCCGGGATCCCCTTTAGGGAACCCAAAGGCTGTGTACGCTGGGAGCACTGGGGCCAGGGATCGGGCAGAGCTGTGGCTCAAGGGCAGACTTTCTCTGCCTTGTCTTTGCATCTGAGCTCACGCAAACCACCTGCTCTTTCTCCAACTGGACTGTCCCTCATGGCTTTGTTCCTTGTCTGATCATGACTCTGCTGTTTGAAGGAGGCGGTGGGGGAGAGGTGAAGGCTTTGGAGACAGCCACAGGGGTGGAGGACTGGAGGGAAGAGGGTGATTCAGGGTGAGGCAGGCCTTGCATTGCGAGCTCTGGGAGCACTGGGGAGGACGGGCTGACCTCTCCCTGACACTCCCATCAGCTGGGGCAGCCACCTGACAGGAAGGGCGCTTTGCCACTGCAGACAACGAGCAGGGCACAGGTTTCCAGGAACCAGATCCTGGGAATTAGTCCATTACATGTTGCTCATGCAATTACACAGAAATGCGTGGGGCTCTTTTGCGGCGGCATAGAGGGAGCCAGCTGAGACTGACTGCACCAACAGTTCCCCTTGAGAGCCGGACTCAGGCGAGGGGTTTCGGAAATTAGGCTTTGTTGGGGAGAGGGCTTTAGCCAGGGGAGTGAGAGTTATAATGTGCCATGAGGCTTTGGGAGTGCTAGCCAGGCCTGAGTGGCCACAGCAGCCCTGGGCAGAAGCTGGCACCTGCTGGGAGCAGCTGGCTACTTTCATAGACCCAATGTGCAGCCTGATGGTGAGTGTCCTGGTGCCTGGTCCATCCAGGTGGCTTACTCTGGGTACTAACGCCCCTACTTTATTGGCTGTTTCCACTAAAAGCTACTTGTGGCCTGGGAAGAGTGTTAAGGGAGGGAGACAAGTGTGCAGGTCAGGAAAGGGCAGGGGCAGAAGTGCCTTGTGGCACCAGCTGATGGGGTTGCCCATAGCAGATCACTCCCTCCATCACAGGTGCAGCCTGGGTGACCTCAGGATCATTAGAACCTGCCTTCATGCACTTGGCCAAGGATGGGCCGAACTCCAAAATGCTGGGGATCCCGGCAGCTTCTGGTCACAGTCATTGGGGTGACTGGCCACTGCAGCTGGCCAGGTAGGAAAACCGACGTACTGCGGAAGGGTCATGGCAGAGGTTTGGAGGGAAAATGGTGGTGCCCAGCCTAGAGGAGGACTCTAAGACAGGGCTATGGGGTGGGGGCAATGGCAGGTGGCGACATAGGGAGAGTAGGAGGGCTATGGGGCAACACGTGGCCTCAGATCTAAGTGCCCAGGTGCCGGGGTTTGTCCTCGGTTATGCCAATGTTCCCCAGTTGGGTCCTTCTGCAGGCAGCTCTAGGAAGCTGGAGTTGAGCAGCCATGCATACTTCCCATGGGTGTTTTGACGACTCCTCATGTTGTTTTCACTTTATAAACGAGAAGGTCTAAAGCCAGATAACGGTTCAGCGACTGCAAGGGACTGCACGGCCGGCGCTGCAGCCAACGCTGTGGTGTGGGACTTCCAGGTTCCCACTGGCTCCCCGCTGAGACCCTCTACAGCAAATCAGATGTTTTCTGCCATTTTCCATTCTCCAGGTCTCTCTCTGCGAGGCCAGACAGGCTCAGGGCCTCCCCCTTCTCCTGGACAGCTACCCTACCCTTGCCCCAGATCTTCCTTTGGGACTGCCTTCGCCTTTTGTTTGTGTTGCTGTTCATGTGAAAGCTGATTTTTCTAGTGCATTTTATGGTCTTAACCTGGATATATTTTGCTTTATTTATTTATTTGAGAAGAATAAAGAGAGATAGATGGAGGGAGAGAGAGGCCCCCAGCAGCTGATACACTCCCCAAATGCCTACAGTGGCTGGGGCTGGGCTGATCTGAAGCCAAAAGCTGAACACATCTCATTTCCCCTGTGGGTGGCAGGGGTCCAAGCACACTGGGGCCATCAGCTCTGCCTCCCCGTGCCTGCACCTGTGGGGCACTGGAGTCAGGAACCAGAGCTGCGGCTTGAGCTCAGGCAACGCAACCGGGATCTATGTCCTAACAGGTGTCTGATTTGCTAGGCCAAACATCTGTCTCACAAATAGATTTAATGAAGGCGAACTTGATGTCACTGCCATAAATGAAGGCCAGACATACTCTGCATCATCAGAAGTGACCTTTAGAATAAATACAGGAGCTATTAGGACCAGCATGGTGATAGAGTGGATTGGTCTTCCACCTGCTGCACCATTTTCCCATATGGGGGCAGTTCCAGTCCTGTTGCTTCACTTCCTATACAGTTTCCTGCTGCTAGTGTAGGAAAGCAGCAGGGAATGGCTCCAGACCTTGGGCCCCTGCACCTATGTGGGAGACCTGGAAGGAGCTCCTGGTTCGTGGCTTTGGACTAGCTCAGTTCTGCCCATTGCCACCATTAAGGGATTGAGCCAGCAACTGGCTTTCTCCTGCCCTGTCCCACCCTGTTCATTATTTTAAAGAGAGGAAAGTGACTGGCCACCCTCATTCTGCACAGCGGCTGTACTCTGGCTGACTCGGGGGAATGGAAAGTGGCAGAAAAGGGCCATTTCCTCACCTGAACTTGACATCAGCCCCAGGCCGGCTCCCAGGTGCCTCCTGGTGACCCCTACCCACCCTGGAGGCCCTCTCTCTGCCCCTACATCGTGAGGGCTACACATACCCCCACACCGAGGCACTGAGGCTCTTGACACTGAGTGAGGGAGGGGGCCTCACAGCTCCTTCCGACTTGGTGCCGTGCCAGGGCGTTCTGGGAGAGCGTCCTTTTTGGATTCCTCTCATGGTTCCCCCTGATGAGACATGGCCCCATCTCCACGTGCACGGAGGAACAAGGCCCTGCCTTCACGCGCACGAATTTACTTCCAGCAGCCCCACGGATGGCAAAACCCACGGCCATGCCAGCCCCATTACAGCACAGTGTAGCATCTGCGTGTAAGGCATGCATATATACCTTATACACTGGACCACCTCTACATGACTTATCAATGCCAGGGAGATAGTTGTTAATGTTGCATTGTTTGGGAGATGAGCAGTATTATACAGTAAAAAACAATGTATGTTCAATATTTGAAGCTATTTGTTTCTTTTAAAATGGTTTCCACCTGTGGTGAGCTGAGCCGGAGCATGCAGAGCCCATGGACAGGAAGTGTTCAGGGGCCCAGCTTGCTCAAGTCCACGCTCCTTGCGTGAGCAGCATGCAGTGCCCCAGGTCACGCATGTGCGCGGTCCAGACATGGCCAGGATGCACCTGTTGCTCTGAGTGAGTGGATGTGGTGCAGCCGGCAGGAGAGGGCAGGTGGTGGAAGCATGTGAGGGGTGTGCTGATGGGAGACAGGGTGCCAGGCACAGGGCTTTTGCAGGAGCGGGTCTCGCCGATGGGTCACATTACAACAGGAGTGGGTGCATGTGTGTCCTTCTTGAGAGCACACTCGTGACAGAAGCTGTGGGTGTGTGAAGCCAGCTGTGGGGCCAGGACCAGGGGTCCAAGCATCATCCCCATGGAGTCAGTGGGTCAGGCACTGGAGTGGGGAGTGATTCAGAAGGGAGGGTCTCTCTGTGCCTCCCCATCCTGGGAACAGGTTACCCAGAGTTACGGCCCCAGAATAACACCCTCCCCCACCTGTCAGGACCACGGAACATGTGCCTCTCACCTGAGGCTTGGTCTCATCTTTGTCCTTGTAGTAGAAAAGCTGGTCCCCACGCAGCACAAACCAGCGTTGCTGCCAGTTCTTCATGATACTTCTCTGCTTCTTCAGCCAGCCAGCCTTCAGCACGGGGCCCGGCTTGTGCGGGCAGGGTGGCCGCCCGGGGCTCCGGCTCTGCTCCCCCATCACCAGGCTTTTGGAGCGGGCTGCAAGCCAAGAAGACACACATTCACATGGTGAGAGAGAAGCTTGGCACATCTGTGGCCAGTCCCTGATGCTTAATACCCTGTCCTGGCATCCAGCTGCCCTGTTGCCTGGCCTGGGAGCCAAGGCCAGCAGCACTGAGCCTGCAGGGCCGACTTTCCCTTGGGTTCAATAGAGCATGTGCTGCAGCAATGCAGCAATGCAGCAGCAGCTTCCTGAGGTCTCCCTATGGCAGGTGTATGGCCTATGGCAGGTGCACGGCTTACGGCAGGTGTATGGCCTATGGCAGGTGCACGGCCTACAGCAGGTGCATGGCCTATGGCAGGTGCACAGCCTACAGCAGGTGCACAGCCTACAGCAGGTGTACGGCCTATGGCAGGTGCATGGTCTATGGCAGGTGTGTGTCCAACCATCTGCACACATGCCTCCACCCGCATTCAGGCATCCATCCATTCTTACCATCACTCACCCATGTATCCATCCACTCACTGTCCCATCCATTCATTCGACAACCCATTCATGTATGCACTCAGCCATTATTATTGAGTGCCTGTTCTGTGGCAGGGACTGTTCCAATAACTGGTGATACAGCCGTGAAATAAAAGCCACGCAGACACGTGCCTCCTCCTGGAGCTTGCATCTGAACAGGGCTCTTGTTATGTGGGCCCAAGGATATCTGGCCTCTCTCACAACCCCAGAGATCACCATCCTAATCGTTCAGGTGCCTGTCTCCCCACTGTGGCTCCTCCTCTCCTTCTTATCCAGGTTCCTCCACCAATCAGCTCTGACAGCACATCCCTCCCTACAATTAATCTCCAAATCAGATGTCGCCTTCCCTGCTTTCTCCTTCCTTTCTGTTCCCCTTACTGAGTCACTGCAGATACACTTACCCCTTGCTGGTCTGCCTTCTGACTCTTACCCTGTGTCTACCACAAGGAATCTCCAAAACACATATGCAGCTGCCAGTGTGCCTGGGAAGGAAGGGTTCTGTGGGGATGACTTTGTCTCCATGGACAGCACATGCTGTTGCCTCCACCTTCCACATGTGCAAACAGGCTGGCAGGGGCCGAGACAGCCATCTGAGACCCCACCACATAGCAGGTGGCTTACTGCTTTCCCCCAGCGTGGCGATAGTATTTCCTAGGCATGCAGCAGACCCCACCGCTGAGCTGGCAGTTCTGCATCCTTTCCTAACGCACCATCAGGCAACAGAACCATGCAGCTCCAGGCAGGTTTCTGGGAGAACACGAGTGCACACACACAAACGTGTGAATGTGGACATGCAAGTGTGTGCCTCATTGGCTGTCTGGGGACCCCATCCAGGTGGTCGGCCCCTGGAGAAGGGACCACCAAGGAGGTGTGGGGAGGGGAGCCTGCAGACTCAGGAGGAGCCTTGGAAGCCTGGGGTCCTCTCGGGGAAGGACGATGCTGTCAGTCCAGTGAGAAGAGGAAGGGATGGCAGACAGTGCGTCCCTGAGACCTGCTGGCCATGGTGTGCACAGAGTGAGGGACTGGGGGCAGGGCAGTGATGCATCCAGGAGGAACACACTGGGTGCTCCTTGTCTGAGATGTATCCACAAGGAAGTCAGAGATGGCCTTGAGTGTGACAGAGAGAGTGGAGCTTGAGAGAGGAAGCTGTGGGCCTGGGCGTGCATGCAGGAGGAGCTCAGCGAGTGTGCGTTGAATAATTACAATGGCAAGAAGAGTTGCTATACCCTGCGTGCTGACACCTGCGCAATGCCCCCACCCTGGTGCTGTGTGGGAATTACTTTGTTTTGCTCCTGACAAGTGATGCTACTTTCATCTTACAGATGTGCAAGTTGAGGTCTGCAGAAGTGGGGCCAGCTTCCAAGACCACGCTTCTGCAAGCAGGTGGTACTGGCAGGTGGTTCATGAGTGTGAGTTTACCTGAAGTTCAGGGCTGGTTCACTCAGCCTCATTAGAACACAGGCACCCAGGAGACCTCCCAGGGGCTTGAAAAGAGGGGGTGCTGGGAGGAGAACCCTGAGGCACGTGGCATAGGGGGCTTGAAGAGGAGCACCCAGAGGGATGGGAGAACAACCAGGATGACACCATTGTAGAAGATCCCAACGGGGTCAACCAAAGGGGATAATGCTTGCTAGGGGAAGGGATGCAGCGGTGGTCGTGGCACACTACAAGAGCTGCTTCATGGAGACAGAGCTGAGGTGAGCGGTGATGGTGGAATCAGTGCAGTCAGTGGACACAGAGAACTCTTCCTGGATAGGAAGGCCTTGGGAAGGGGACATGAGATGGAGGGGCGGCCCACCCCATATGAAGACCGAGAGACCCATGGGTGCTTAAACACTTCTGCCTGGTGGGAGTGGAAGAAAAGATTAGGTAGGGAGATGGATCGAAGAGAGAGCTTCCCAGAGACGCCAGCACTTGGAGCCTGAACTCAGCAGGTGGAGCAGCCGGGACAGCAAGACTCTGTTGTGGGCTGTGGCAGGAGGCAAGAAGGCCTGGGTGGGTGTGGGCAGGGATCCCACACCTCCCCATGCCCCAGGGAGCTGTCTGTACTGCAGCTTCCACCCCAATTCCCTCCATATTGTTGCCACCTGGACTGCACCTGGGTCAGAATGTGTGGCTGAACCAGGACAAGGCATCGTGAGCTTTGCCAGTCACCCGGTGTCAGCGGGGTCAGCTCTCGTTGCAGTCGCTCTGGTCCAGCCTTCCTGGAAAAGCTGGACAAGAAGGAGAATGTGGGCCTGGTGTGGTAGCCTAGAGGCTAAAGTCTTTGCGTTGCATGTGCTAGGATCCTATATGGGCACCAGTTTTAACCCCAGCGGCCCTGCTTCCCAAACAGCTCCCTGCTTGTGGCCTGGGAAAGCAGTAGAACTCAGCCCAAAGCCTTGGGACACTGCACCCACGTTGGAGATCCGGGGGAGGTTCCTGGCTCCAGGACCAGCGCAGCTCCAGCCGTTGTGGCCATTTGGGGAGTGAATCAGCAGACAGAAGATCTTCCTCTCTGTCTCTCCTCCTCTCTGTATAGATGACTTTCCAATAAATAAATCTTAAAGAAAAAGAGGGAGCATGCTTTCCTCCCTGGACCTGGAATGAGTGGACAGGGCTGGGGTGGGGCTGCGTGGCATGAATCATTTCACTCCCTCCAGTGGCTCAGAGGAGAGGAATGGCTGACGCCACCATCCTGGCATGGTTCAGCCAGGATTCAAAGCCAGGTCATGGTCTCTAGGGACACTGTGATTCTTCCCAGGGCAGAGCTGAGCCATGGTGGCCAGCTCCTGAGTGCTTCAGACCAGAGGCAAAGCAGGAGGAAACGTCTCAAAGGCCAGGTCTTCTGGGGACAGGATGACTTTGTCCCCCCCGGGGTTAAGGACTGAGTGGGATGGGACCACATGTCACTCAAACATAAGAGGTCCAAAGAGCGCGGGTGAAGGGCATTCAAGGACCAGGGATGGGCACAGGGGCTGTGCAGCCTAGGCATTGTCATGGCAACACCGGGGGTGGGGTTGCATCCCCAGTACTGTCTCCTTCCTTTTTCCATGGCAGTTGGGGGAGGCTCAGGGCTCTATCACCTGTCAGTGCTAGGAGGAAACAAAAGAGAAAAGGAGGGCGTGTTCAGAGGAGGACACGCGAGTGATCAGGAGAGGTGTGTAAGGGTGTGAGCTCGGAGACAGCTGTAGGGAGCTGTGCAACCTGTACCGAAGAGGCGGGAGGCTCAGGGGGTGCTTATAGGCCTGGTCATCACAGGTTATTGAGGTTGCGATTCATCAACAAGTCATTATAGGAGGAGGCAGCTGGACTGTACGTATTAAAATAAAAAACACGTGCATTCTATACTCCTTGCAATTCTGCTTCTCGCCTCTGTCCTCTGGAGACAGGCCCAAGCACACAGGACTTCACAGCCAAGGACCATCCATCTCAAGGTGAACTTGAATTCCAGTGATTGATACTGGAAATGCAATTCCCTCCTACCCTTTTTTTCTTTTTTAAATTAAAAATTAATTGACTTATTATAAAGGCAAATTTACAGAGAGTGAGAGAGAAACAGAGAGAGAGAAAGATCTTTCATCTGCTGGTTCATTCCCTCAAACGGGAGCTGGGCTGGTCTGAAGCCAGGAGCTTCGTCTGGGTCTTCCATGTGACTGCAGCTGTCTAAGTACCTGTGCCCTTCTCCCCTGCCTTTCCAGAGAACTGGATGAGAACTGGAGCAGCCAGGATTCAAGCCAGCATCACAGGGGATGCTGGTGCCACAGGTAGCAACTTTACACACACTGCCACAGCATTGGCCCTGCTGTCAAAGTTTTTTAAAAAGTGTGGTAGGGGCAGGTGGGGAACATGGATGTTGGTCCTTGTGGCTTAAGATGCTGGTTGGGACTCCCACATCTCAGCTGCCTGGGCTTGATTCCTGGTCCCAACTTCCTGTTAACGTGCACCCCATGAAGCAGAAGTGATGGCTTGGGTAGCTGGGTCTCTGCCGGCCACGTGGGAACTCCAACTGACTTCTCAGCTCGTTCCTCCTAGCCTCCACTCGTGCCCATTGGGGGTACTCCGGGAGTCAACCAGTGGCCAGGCCTTCTCTCTCTCTCTCTCAAATAAATAACACATAATTAAAAATAAAAATAAGCACGCAAAAAATGTAAAGGTCTAGCAGTGGGAAAAGAGCTGACTACGTTGCACTGCATCCCGTTACAGGAGTGGTATGGAAATGTACAAGAATGTAAATGACATTGAAGTTTGTGGGTTATGTAGGCGCATGGGACCCAGATGTATGTTGTATTTGGTTTTTTGTTTTCATATTTTGGAATACTGACCCATAGATAATGAAGTATTGTGGGGACAAGGCCTAAATTCAAACACGGAATCCAGATTTGTGTTTCACATCTATCTTATGCACAAGGCCTGAAGGCAGCTTTATTTGGTATTTTTAAATCGTTTTTGCACAACCAGCAAAGTTTCAAAGCATGGAATTTTCCACTTATGCTGGCATTGTGTTGGCAGGCACTCACAAAAAGTTTCAGAC